GAAGTTTCCATTTAATTTGAGCTGGATGAGACCTCACAGTCAAGGTTGAAAATGTATGAGGTCTTTTTCTTGTGTACTAATACCAAACCTAAATCTTGCAATGTTAACACCATCCACTGGGAGGAAAGAGATGGTATTGTCTGGGCCTTGCAGATAAATGTCATTAGCTGCGGAGGAAGACTGTGGAGGACAGTGTCCCTGAGCCGCAGGTTGTTGCTTGGGGACAGAGTAAGTCTTGGCCCTTTTCTTCAGAGCCCCTGGAGTCTTGCCACTCCACATATGGGCTAGTGGGACCTCCAGGGAACTTACAGATGTGCAGAAGACGGCCCCCCCCCAAGCCTCTTGAACTGGAATCCGCATCTTAGACAGCCTCTGAGGTGACTGTACACAGACCTCATGGTGCAGTCACAGGGCAGCCACACAGGCTCCTTCCTCACAGGTGCTGTGTAATTGCTGGTAGGATGGAAAGCACAGGTGGTCTCTGAGGAGCCCTTCAAAGCTAAATCGTTGAATTTAATGAAAAGTGTCACACTCAGCCAAGTCGAATGCTTCCCACTCTACAAAGGGCTTTGTGATTAATGAATTAATAACAGTGTCATGGTGCTGCTGTTCTTACAAGTGAATTTAGAGTTCTTATTAGCATCCTTTCACTGGGCGTCTTGATAGACCCAGGAGGCATCAACTGAGATGACTCCTCTCTCATCCAGCTTTGCCTGTCCACCTCCCACAACAGAAGAGGCACTGGGGGATGTAAGATCCAGAGAACTGAGATGGAAAGACAGACCTGTAAGGACTGGATAATATCCAGTACATGTGACCTAAGGACACTGCTCTTTTCTGGTCTGCCCTCAGAACAGTCCATGAGCTTTCTCCTGATATCACCCAAGGGCGTGTGCAAGGAAGGGAGGGTGGAAGGAGAGGAAGAAAAGACTAGAAAGAGAAAGAAAAGGTAGCTAGGTCTGGCTGTGCTCTCCCTTCGGCCCAGTACTTGGAAGGCAGAGACAGGCAAATCTCTGTGAGTTTGAGACCAGCCTGGTCTATAAAGCAAGTTCTAGAGCAGACAGGGCTACATAAGGAGACCCTGTCTAAAAAAGAAAGTGGCAGGGGGACATTGCACCAAATGGACAGAGGCACAGATGCTGAACCTGGCCACTGAAGTCCCACAAAGGCCATGGTGTGCACACCCCCATCTCCATCTTAATTCTACTCGCTGTCTGCCAGTCTCTCTTCACTGAGCAGACCATCTTGGTAGCAACCCACCCTCCAGCTTCAAGGTTGTCTCTGGATTTGGGGGCTGCCAGGAAAGCTGTTAGATGCAAAGGAACAAAAGAGATGCGGGGATGGAGAGGCGTTCTGAGCTTGGCTAATGAGAGAGGTGACTCACTGGCTGACTCAGACGCCTGGGAGAGGGAAGCAGTGGGGGACAGACCTCAAAGGAGCCCTGCAAACCAGAGCTAGGAGGCCAGAGGCACGTTTCGGTTTTGTTGTTGTTTTGTTTGTTTGTTTTACAGAACTTCTTGGGGCTGTAGATGGGGGAGCAGATTCTCAAAGAGAGGGACATGGGGGGATGGGGGGGGCTACTTTTCCTTTTCTCTTCCCCAGAAGCTGGGTTGTGAATCTAGCCTTCTGTGCTTGGAGAGCTGTGTAGCATCCTCCAGCTATGCTGACCTGAGCTCTGGCAAATCTCAGGGCACAAACGCAATAGGAATTAATTGCCATCAGGTCCCCAGGCAGTGAGCTGAGTCAGGTACCACCCTCAAATTTTCTAATACTCTCCATTAGGGGAGGGAAAGGGCCACTTTTGATTTTTTTTTTTTAAGTATTTTACATTTGAGAACATTGTGATCCAACCTGTTCTTATAAATACATTAAACACTGTTCTAAACATATGACTAAGGCATCTTATCTTTTGTGAATGGCTAATTGAGGTTCTGAGATGGAAGAGTCCAAGGTCATTGCTATGAAGGTTGGTACCTGCCTTGCCCTAGGAGGGATGCACCTGAAATGATATGACTATGAACTGCCCACTACACAGTATAGCTAGGTCTCCTAAAGATCACACGTTTGTGACATGGTCGATTGTAGGGACAAGACTACCTACCTAGGTGACGAATTTTCTTCATGTGTTAAATAAGCCACATAGGTTCAAACCGGAAGCCTCAGCCGGTTCAGTCAATGTAAACCCACTGAGCTGGCTAAAAATAGCTCTAGTTGATTACATATTTATACGTAATTTGATGGTTGATGTCTCAAATGTACTTCTGCAGAGCTGTGAGCAAAGGCAGGAGGGGAGTTCTTGGCAGCTTGGCAACCTGTCACCTTTCACAAAAATGAAAAACAAAAGCCATAGGCTTTCAGCTTCCCCGGCCTCCTGCAGACAGCAACAGTGTTGCAACTGTTGTTAATCTCAGCCCTGGCTAACTACTTTTGTCGCCATCATGTTGCCTGTATTTAGTGCCGGGTGTTTTGTAACATTCTAACCCCATCTGTCTGATAATTATGAAAGCGCTGGAGAGTATTGGGTGTGCCGATAACAGGCTTATTCTGGTGAAAATGAAGAGATGGAAGCACTCAGCGTAGTGAGAAAAGTCTTCAAAGCTGCGTGCGGGGTAAGGAGCAATGGTCTTCGTCCACACTGGAGATCAGACCCAGGACTCTAACCACGGAACACTGGGCATATCCTGAAAGACAGACTGAAGATGTGGGCCTATGTGATGACCAGTAGTCTGCAAAAACTAAGAAACGGGAACACATTTGAATGGGAAATGAGTAACAACACTGAGTACCTAAAACGAAATACGAATTCAGGTGAGGGCTGAAATTGCAGGAGAGCATTTGGAAGCCAGATGTGTTTACCGATCCTTCTGAAACATTTGCTGAACACCAGGGTGGCTCTGTGGGGTCAAGGCCACTTAGATTCACAGCCTGGAAGTTCTCCTACAGCCTCACATGTAAAGCTTTGAAGGAACCAACATGGCTTCCGGAATGCAAATCACTCTTGGCAGCTGACATATTAACAGTCGTTTAGAACTCACCAATTTATAAAGCACATACACATTCCTGCATATTTTACTAACTCATGCTTTTTTCCCCCTTTGCATAGTTCTTTGGCATGATTTTGTATGCATGTGTGTGCATGTGGAGGTCAGAGGTCAGCCTCAGGTGCAGTTCTTCACTTCTTCACTTTGATTTTTGAGACACAGTCTCTCACTGGGACCTGGGGCTTGCCAATTAGCCTAAGATGGCTTGATGGCTAGGGAGCCAGCCCCAGGGGCCTCCACTCTCTGCCTCCCCATCACAGGGCTTACAAGTACATCCTCCATAGCTGGTTTTTCCACATGGGAGTTAAACTCGAGAGGACCCTCAGAGTTTAGATAGGAAGAGCTGTACAGACCAAGCTATCTCCACAGCTCCTCGCCTGTTTTGTTTTGTTTTTCAAAACAGGGTTTCTGTGTAGTGTTGGCTGTCCTGGAACTCACTCTGTAGACCAGGCTGGCCTTGAACTCAGAGATCCACCTGCCTCTGCCTCTGCCTCCCGAGTGCTCGGATTAAAGGCATGCACCACCACCGCCTGGCTTCCATTTGTTCCTTTTAGCAATAGTCTGACATTCTATTTGCTGACTGTGTCATCTGATCCACCTTTTGTTGGACTCAGAAGAATAATGTCACTTGTCATAAGTCACTATACATTTTTACCAGAATAATTAGCAGAAGTTACAGGTTATGTTTAACATTTTAATATGTTTCTTACTTACCTTGAGATAGTGCTGACTAGTATCATGCCCAGAAACATATGGATGCTCCATTCAAATGGCCCATGGACCTTTGCCAACTAACTAAGGAGGGTTTTTGAGGAGAAAAATTTGTTTCTAAAAGTTTATTGGATTATCCCTACAGTCTCTTTGTATGACCTCCCCCCACCTCACTATACCCCTGGCCATTTTTCTGTTGAAATATCTATCAAGTAATGATGGGTAAGTGTTTTCTATATCAAAAGTCCTACTTCCCCCAATTTTCATGGATCTTGTTACTTTATAGTGGCCACCACTGTGTTTCACCTCTAAAGCTGAGATAATGCCAGTCCCTGTTAATGTAGATGGCTGATGGAAAGATTGACTGAGAAAATTTGGGAGGAAATGCTACGAAACACCAAACATTTTTAGCCCATCCTTCCAATGATGAGACCAGCTTGAAACAAAAAGGATTGGCTGATATACCCAGCATGAATCTATATGCAAACTCATATCCTCATCTTAAAAATACCTTGCCTCATAAGAAATTAATTTCAGCTTTAATAGTTACTAAGGATTGCTATAATTCACACACTGACTGACTCCCAAATGTCTAAATGTTAAGAGTGGTCTCAAGGTAGTACTAAGATGGCAAAACCCTTGCTAGTCAGGGTCTCGTGGGAGATCCTTGGATCACTGAGGGCATGCCCTCAAAAGGGACTGTGGAACCTTCAGCCCTCTTTCTATTTGTTTCCAGGACATGAGGTGGACAGTTTTGCTCTGTCACTCACTCCTACTACAGAGTCTGTCTCATCCCAGGCCCAAAGACAGGGGCCCAGCTGGAACCTCTACAGTGATGAGCCAAAATAAACCTTCTCTCTTTTTAAGTTAATTATCTTAGGTATTTTGTTACAGCGGAGGAAAAGCTAAGACAAGAACGTTATGAAAATCAACAAAGATGGTCAATATAAAAGCACTCAGAAACATTTAAATGATCCCACATAAAGCCAGGTCGGCACTCCAACATTCTTTTGCTTTTTGTCGAAAGCCCTAATTAGCCAAGGACAGACTTGTTGTAACAAGCAAGGCTCCTCATTCAACATGATTTTTACCTCAGCCTTCTATTCCACGCAGTGCACCTTCCCAAGCAGTCCTATTCTTGGCTCGTCTTCACTGGAAAACAAAAAGAGGTCAGTCAGTGGAACACTCTTCTGCAACAGAATGAGATATTTTTAATTATGCATTTTTATAAATAGATGAGAAGAAAATATTTAAATGAATACACGAGCCTTCATTCCCAGCAATGCCGCCACCCTCCCGCTGCCCCCATCCTGGTCTCCATGGTTTCTCGCATATCTTTCCTGTGTTTCATAGATGCAAACAAATCCAAACAGACAGCACTTCCCTGTTCATACATGAAGTTTGCTTCACTTTCCATCTCTTTTTTCAACCTAATAATAGCTGGTGCTCCATGATAGAGATACTTTTTTTAGTATGTTCCAGACCCTATATTCAATCCACAGCACCACAAATCAAAGTAAAACACAAGTCCCTGAACACATCTTGAGTAGAAGACCTCTATTGGGAAGACACAATATAAATGAGACATGATGACATTGCCTTTAAATATAAACATTTTTAAAATGTTGTCTCATCACCGAAAAAAATATAATTATGTGTGGGAATATATGTTAACTAGCCTGATTTAGCCTTTCTACAATGTATGCATATATCAAAATATGGTCTATACCATAAATTCATAAGACTTGCATTAGTCAACCAAGGAACTACTGAACATAATATAAAGGAACAAAACAAACAAATAAATAAAGTGGAGAACCCAGCCCTCCCTCCACAGTCTTACTTGGTTCTGTCATCATAGTCAGAGAATCTCAGAATTGGCTTGTCACACTCAGGCATCAAAACTTGTTTCCCTTTTTTCTGGGGAATATATTGTGTGCCCCACCCCCACCCCTGTCCTGTGTGTATTGTTGTTGCCTCTGGGAATCAATCTCAGAGCCTCGAGCATGCAGAGCACACACTCTACCCCTGAGCTCCACCCAAACCCAAGGTTGAACTTTAATTTTCCTCTTGGCTGGGTGTGGACACAGGACCAAATTCCAGCAGGTAAATGTGAGCAGAGTGTAAAAGCACTACGTCTAGGTCTAGCCCAAACCCATAACCCCAGTATTCCTTGTTCTCCCCACTTGCCAGCAGGTTGGTAATGCCTAGAGTGACTCTGTAAGCTGCACACTGAAGATGGCAGAATCACAAGATAGAAAGCTCCGGGTCTTTGAACTGTTGCTAGAAACAGTACTATGAATCTTGGATGTTACACGGCAAGAGAACCTTCCCATGTGTTTGAGCTGTGAGATCGTAGTTTAGGTATAATACAGCAGCTATTATTCTTCATTAAAACAGCAAACACACAACACCTTCTATCTGTGGGGGTCTCTTACTAGCATTCATTCCTGGGATCCCCCAGCAAACTTCCAGTGGACTATGAACTCCTTGTAAGAAGTGAAGTGATTATCGCTCATGTTTGCATCCTTAGTGCCTAGAACAAATCCTCCAAATCCTTTTGGAGGAGTGAATGAATTTTGGAACTCCTGCAGGGACAATGGATTAACTCATTACCATGTCAGTTAGTTTCATATTACCCCATAGCTTTTTCCTTTGATCAAGCATACTTCATCAGCTTCAGATATTAGAAAATTATTAATCTGGAACTAAACTCCTAAACTCCACTACCCTCTAACTTTTTGTTTGTTTGCTTTCCAGACAGTGTTTCTCTGTTCTGAAACTAACTCTGTAGACCAAGGCTGGCCTCAAACTCACAACGATCTGTCTGTCTCTGCCTCCTGAGTGCTGGAATTAAAGGTGTTCACCACCACCACCAGGCCACTACCCTCTAATTTATACAACTTTCTTATTGTCTTTTTCAGATGCATAGAATAAATCCAAGCTGTCTTCAAGACAGCCCTTCAACCACTTGACAATGTCTCCTCCTGCCTCTACCATAACAAATCGTCCGGATCCAGACTAAATAGTGTTACGTCCTTCAACTCTTCTAAGACTGCAGTGACTGCAAGTCTTAACAGTGATTTGCCCTCCACTAGACACACTCAGGGCTATCACTGTTTCCTGTTCAGCCAGTACCAGGGAATAGCATTGTGCTCTTGGCATGCACTGCCCAGCCCATGGTGGACCACTTGGCCCTCCTAACTAGGACTTCAGACATCAATCAAAGTAACTCTCTAATTTTTACAGTCCTGGAGGCAGCTATGACACCTGGAGATCCATCTAAGCCTTCCTTCCATCTAACTTGCTATCTTTTCTCCCTACCAGAGAAAGAAGTCCCTTGCCACCACCTACACACCTCACCATACAATCTTAGACAAGTCACTTCACCGCTCTTGTCTGAAAAATGAGGTGGCTGGGCCACATGATTATTGAGGTTTGCTTCCCACTCAAAAATCCTTTGTGAGTAGAACAGGAAATTCTGAGAGAATGCATGAACTTTGACGTAGGATCTCTCACCCACAAAGCAATGGGAGGGCAAATCTGCCTGGAAACAACAAGCTTACAAAACAACATGAAGCTGTACAGGTCGGTTTTCTCAGCCATGTTAAACTAATACCCAGTGGTATCTGGAGACTGTGACCAACCAGAAGTATAGACTAGAGACAGTGGATCACTGGTATAAAGTCAAGAAAAACACAGCACCAGCTAACAGTGACAAAGCATAAGGGAAATTAGTGTGTGGCTCGGGGAACGGTAGTGGCTGGAGAACATACTGTCTGCACTATTTAAACTCAAGGAATAATGACCACATTGTGGGGTTTCAAACTACAGAAAGCCTAGTTGGGTGCATTGCTTTTCTTCTTCTCATCTTACATACAGTATAAGCATACCCACCTAGAAAGACCCTCAGCTACTGGACCAAAACTGCTGTTTGCTGGGGGCATGAATCATGTCTGTTTATCTCTTGCCCTTGGTCAAGTTCTTATAAAGCAGACATCTTGCTTGCTTTAAGCTGATTAATTTCTCTTACTGTTTCTGCTGGATAGCTGCCCCACCCCACCCCATCCATGCTTCTGAGGCTGGTCCCACTTCCCACCTCAGAGCAAAAATCTACGCATTATTATTTGACCTCTTTTGAAAACCTCATTGCCAGTTTCCTAACCTGATCTGGGCACACTCCCCATCGGGGCCTGCATTTCCTGTGGATGATGAGTTGGTTTCCTAGGTGACAGAGGGAAGGAATAGACCTGTTAGCTTGTGGCTTCTGACTCACTCTCTGCAATGGACGTCACAGCATCCTGGCTGGATAAGTGGATGCTGATAATAAGCTTGTGCTGAAGGCAGCAGCAGGGCACTAATGGCTAAGACAATCGAGTTGTACCGCTCGCCCTCCCACGAGGCAAGCCAACAGACCCCATAAATTCTGGATATGAAGAAACAAACAGCAAATTTCAAGACCCTGAACCCAGTCCATTATAAATACACAGTGGAGTCCTGTTTGACAACGATCTCAGCACAATTTGCTTTTCTGGGACATGAAGGAAACAGGGTTCTCTAACGAAATGGCCCATGAAGTCTGAAAGGAGAGGTAGCAACAGATCAAATCCTCAAATTCAGTTTACTGAGATGTCAGCTGTCTGTAAACTTTCACAGTTGTTCCCAAAGGGGTAATTAAACTCACAGTGACCCAATCAGTCATCAGAGACCACAATGAGAAATGACAGATTAATCTTCAGAAATGTTAGATTTCATGAAACTTGGAGACAAGGACACATGGACACACACACACACACACACACACACACACACACACACTTACTTTTCAACTCCCTCTTTTTCTGTCAACTCATCCCTACCCTGTACAAGTCAATGAAAGCTTCGTGGAACCAAAAACCTGAAGACTTCCTTTGTTCTTCCCATCCCAATCAGAGAAGGCTGAATGGATTCTTAGGATTCTTGAATCCCTTAGATGACCAACAAACCTATAGTTCCTTCCAGGAGATAAAGCGTCCTGTTTTTCCCAGGGGCCTTGAGGGTACTTTAAATAGCAGCAGCAAGCCTCCGAATGAATTAGACAGCAAATGTAGGTTAGCTTTATTTAGACTTATAAAGAAGCAGAGAAAGTTGTCTGGTTCAAGGGCAGTGCAGCCTGACATGACAGCATTTCTCAGAGGAGGGGAAATTGCTCTGGGAAAGAGAGGTATTTGGGGCGAAGAGCAAAGCTCCTTTGTATCTCCAGGGACAGGGATGCTACAATCTTCAGCCCAGAAGAGCACAATTTAAGAATGGCCAGCTAGTCACTGAAGGAAAGAGTTCAAGATTTACAATGTAAAATGGAGCTGTGCATCTGAGTTCACCATTTCTCTTCCAGTTCCTTGGGAAAGTCACCAGAAACTTCCTGAAACATAGGCTGGGACAGGGAGCTCCTGCAGCTTCTCAGAGCAAGACTTCAGATCAATAGTAACTGCCCTTAGTCTCCACATGGGGGGAAGTTCTGGAATCTCCCTAGGAGACCAAACCATGAGGGTGCTCAAGTCACTTCTATAGAACGGCATGCTGTGTGCTCACATCCTAAGCATATCCTCAGGCACAGTTTAAATCCTCTTTAGATACTCTGTAATACCTCACGTTACATAAATGCTGTGAAACTGTTGCTATGCTAGACAGCCCAGTCCAGGAAAAATAATAAAAACAAAATCTATGAATGTTCAGGAGATATGCACATCCTCCCACCCCCAACAACATCTTCAACAAGTTGGTTGACTCTGAGGGTGCAGGATCCATGAATACGGAGGGCCAGCTAGCCATCCAGATGGAGGGCCTCTGGAGATACATAAGCCCGGAAAGTAGAGAGATAGGCAAATGTTGTGGTGACATTTATGCATTGGCAAAAATGTAAGTGCTTGAGAAAAAAAGGTCAATAAATAGGTTTGCGGTTTTCTTCCTCTTTTTCCTCTGCACCTTTCTCCCTGGGATTATTTTCTGTACATGTTTTCTGAAAGTCAACCATGTATGGAAGGTTATAGATCTAGGAAAAAGGATAACAGTCCAGTTCTGTTGTTTGTGCCATGTTTATGGTATCTTCCATAAGTCTTTGCTGGCTTCTTCTCAGCACACAAAAGTCAAATTTGATCTTGTGTCTTAAAGTT